TTCAAGGCAAACTGACTTCTACTTTACCATGGTGATGAGCTCTTCTTTCTCTCCCTCTGGGAGCTTCCATGTTATATTTACCAATGAGTCCCAGTTGCTGTTTTACATCGACATTGATTTGACGACACACACACACAGGCTCATGTAGCTTCAATCATGCAGCTGGTACCAAACCAAATGTCTTTCTCAGAGTCACTTCATACATTGTCCTGGACACATTTGATGTTTCCAGAGAAGGGGCCTCTCAGACTTGAGCAGGTGTTTGCTCCCATGTTCTGCTGTAAACCGCATGCACGTAAACATTTTGAAATAGTGCTAATTTGAGTCAGACCTAATGCTTATCACTGGTCACTTCAAATAGAAAGGGAGTTAGATCTACTCTCTTTTACCCCTCCCAGTCTGAAAGAAAGATCTTCGTTTAGAATCCACTCCCACCAGATTCCTTTTTACTGAAGTCTATTTAAGTGGATATATGTATTATATCTGTATATATTATACATATGGATATACTATTTTATAATACATATTTGTAGAGGATAGAATTTGGTGCACTATGCAGTTTACACTAATCAAATCAGGGTAATTATCATGTCTACCTCTTCAAACACTTCTAGTTCCTTTGAAATATAGTTTGCAGACTATGGTTACCCTACTGTGCACCAGATTTGATCCCTCCCATCTAGCTGTGTGCTGGTGCATGCTATCTAGTCTCTCTCCATCTTCCCTCTGCCTTCTCTCACTCCCTGTCTAATTATAATTCTCTTTTTCTACGTAGTCATCTTGTTTTTTTAGCCTCCACCACTCAGCACTCGTCTTCTTTGCCTGGCTTATTTCACTACACGTGATGCCCTCTGATTCCATCCATATTGCTGCAAATCAAAATATTTAATTTTAAAAATGTATATACATATGGTGTATACTTACCCTGTCTTATTTGTTCTTCTGTTGAAAGACACTTTGGAAAATTCCATGTCTTGGCTAGTATGGACAGATCTACAATTAACTTGGGAGCCCAAAGATCTCTTAGACTTACCGATTTCATTTCCTTTGGGTATATGACCAATAATGGGATGGCTGAGTCACACAGAAGAACTTCCATACTATGTGCCATAACGACTGTACTATTGTATATTCCCACCAACAGTGCATACCAGCTGCCCTCTCTCTATATCCCTATCAGCATTTGTTATTTTTTTTTTTTGTTCTTGACTTTTTGATAATAGCAGTTCTAATTAGGGTGAAATTAGTACATCACAGTGGCCTTGATTTGCATTTCCCCGATGCCTAGTGATAATGAGTATTTTTCTTTCATGTTCTTCTTGCCTATTTCTATGTCTTCTTTTGAAACATGAATGAGATTGAGATCACTTGCCCAGCGTTTAAATCAGATAATTATATATTCTGAATATTGATCTTTTCCTGGGTGGATGGTTTGCTGATATTTTCTCCTGTTCCACTTGTCTCTTCATTCTACTCATGATTTTGTTTATGGAGCAGAAGCTTCTCTGTTGGATGCAATTCCATTTGCATATTCTCGCTTTAATTGCACACGTGACCATGGAGGGGGGTATCCTACTCCTGTACTGATGGCTTACAGCATTTCCCCTATGTTTTCTAGGGGCTTCTTAGTCTTGATCTAATAGTCTTTCATCCACTTTGAGTTGTGTTTTTTTAATATTGTTGCATTTATCTAATTATAATCAATAAAAAATCAGGAGTCAGATATCGGGGTAAGAACCTAAATGATCAGAGAAGTGACAGAGAAGCGAACAGTGACCTCCTATCTCTTCTGTTCCTCCATCCAAAGGGCTGAGATCCTCTCTAAGCCCTACCCTATTACTTCCTGTCTCTCTATCTGTCCTCAGTCCTCCAAAACCTCTATGATTAATTTTGGTCAGCTAGTAGCTAGCTCTGCCCTCTGATTCAAAGCAAATTTTATTGTCAGAATATGATCAAAATATCACACAACAGTATATAGAGAGGGGTAGTAATGGAGTTTTATTCTTTTGTGGATGTATATCTAGTGCCCCATTAGCACTTATCCAAGAGACTGCCCTTTCTTCCATGTGTCTTCTTGGTACCTTTGTTGAAAATCCCTTGGCTGTATGTATGCAGATTAACTTCTGGGTACTCCATGCTATTCCATTCATTTGTACAGTTTTATACCAGTACCATCCTGTTGTACCATAGTTTTGCAAATGCCAGAGACACATGCTGTGGAAGCCACCTGTCCTCGACCCCAGAGACACAGTGGAAACCATGAGCCCGAGGCTGTGATTTGCAGAGGGCCATGTCATTGGGCTGCATGAGGAGAGCATGGATGGTGCTGGGATTCTGATAGCAGCTGCTGTGATGAAAAGTCTACCTACTGATCCTGGGGCAAGATGGAATCTAGTCATGGTTCTGTCCCATTGATATGGCGCTGTGCTATAGCAAATTGGGCTCTGGTTGTTGGAGACTCACTGTGTGTTCCTCCTGTGGAGCAAAGCAGTTGTGCAGACAGATGGAGTTTCAAGTCTGTGGGAACTGTAGCATTCTCTGGTGCTGATGGCAAGGGCCTGGACTTTCCTGCTTCCCTGTGCCTGGAGATGGAAGAGCAGGAAACCAGGGTCTCTGCTGCAGTGCACTGTGTCTATAGACCACCATCTCTGTGGCTTAGAGCTTTCTGACATGTCCTTGTGGGTTTCTAGAGCTTAGTTTCAGCAGTCAATCCCCTGAAAACACAGGCAGGCATTCCTTTGTCACCCTGGGTCTTTATGAGGAAGCGAGAAGGGAGCTTGCTAGATGGGAATCCTCTCCTCCACCTGAGTCTTGATCAGAGTGTGAAATCAAACTGCTCAGTCAGGTCCTAAGTTGGCTTGAGTTGTATGAGTACCATGGAGTGTGACTTGCCCGTGACTTGACTACTCTTTGCCATTTATATGGCAATAATACAAAGACGTAAGGGTACAGTTTGGCTCCCTGAGATGACCAGGTATCCTGTGTAGAGTTTTCAGCTGGCTTTTATCCCAGTGAAGGTCAGGCTTAGGGCATGGCAGCTGGAAGGATGTGGGAGGGAGGGATGGAAGTTGCATTTAAGGCAAAATGGCTGAGTCAAGGAAAGGCACAGGGTGAGGATGGGGAAGCAGTCTTGAGGCTGGAAGACGCAGAGAAGCAGAAACATCTGTCAGGGTCTAAAGGCATGTCTGAGAGCCTATACCAGGGCTCTCAGGGGGGTCTTTGCTTGCTGTCATGGCAATTCTTTGTTGTCAACTTGACTGGACTTAGAATAGCTCAGGAAACACACCTCTGTGCATGTCCGTGAGGGTGTTTCCGGCAAGGTCGAATAGAATATAGTAAAACCAGGAGCTGAAGTCCTGGTCTAAATAAAATGGAGACAGAGGTGACAGCAGGCTGAATGCCAGCATTCATCTCCCTTTACTTTCTGACTGTGGATACCATAGGACTGCCTGCCTCACACTCCCACCATCATGGACCACATGCCCTCACACTCCCACCATCATGGACCACACGCCCTCACACTCCCACCCCCATCATGGACCGCCTGCCCTCAAGACAGACGCCAGACCAGGCATTTAGTCACAGCAGTGAGGCAACAGATACGCTTTTTAATATAAAACATGTCACTTTAAATGTGTGGTCTGCATCTATTTTCAGCCAGGACCTACTCTTCTCTTTGTTTTAATGCTTTATCTTTCAAACGTTTGCTGTAAAACCAACAGAAAGAAATGCACTTTACTTCACAATCCATGACACCTTATCTCTACTCCCCCAACTGAAATCCGAATTCCATGAAACAATGTTTGTACTTATTACGTACACTCTGGTACTGTCTTACATTCTCCCTTGTGTCCACCTGCCTCTCGCCTCTCCTTCTGTATTTCACAGACACTGGCTGTGACCGACCAAATTCATTCCACAGTTTCAGAAGGAATCTCCTGAAAACTAGGTTTCAATTCTGGTCCCCAGTTCTGCTGCTGTTTCTTGGGGCACAACTTTCTCAACTGCTCAGGTCTGCTGTGGGATGTCTTTTCTGTACGCTGTGTATATGTGTTGCTCTGATTGGTTGATAAATAAAGCTGCATTGGCCTATGGCAGGGCAGGATAAGGTTAGCTGGAGCATTCAGACTAAAGATGAGATGAAGGGTGGAGTCAGAAGAGACGCCAGCCCGCAGCCCAAGGAGCAACAAGATGCCAGCAGTCTGGTAACGCCATGGCCGCATGGCAACATATAGATGAATAGAAATGGGTTAAGTTATAAGAGCTAGCTAGCAAGAAGCCTGAGCCATAGGCCATACAGTTGGTAATTAATATAAGCCTCTGAGTGATTGTTTTATAAGCAGCTGCCGACAGCGGGTAGGAGAGATTCATCCCCACTGCAGGGCCGGAGAAACTTCCAGCCACACAGCCCAACCTTTACATAGCCCCTTGTTATTCCCACCTCCGCAAACAAACCCTTTGCCCAAGGCAGCCCCAGATTTCACTGCTCCGGGGTCTCTTCCTCTTGTCCCCACCTGTCACTTCTGTTAGCCATTTCCTCTCAGAACAGTCTTCCATTTCATTTGACGTCATCTCTTGGTTTTGAAGAAATCGAATAAAATTAAATTTCCAAAAATATAGCGAAGACACCTCTCCTGGTGTCAAGATAATTTTAGGGCCAATGAGATGTGTTATTCAACACATTCTTTTGTTATACGTTTTTCTAGTGGCCTTTCTCTGAAACACATGGAAGTTGATCATAGCTAAATGTTAAAGGGGAATTTTCAGATATGTCAGATGTGATTTTTAAGGGCTTTATGTGTACAAACTTGTTCAGTTCCCATTATAACCCTGTGGCTTAGTTACTGTTGTTATTGTCGCCATTTAAAGGTAAGGCTTGCCCGCAGTCACACGGACGAACTGGATTGCAAACTTAGTTGGTTTGCAAGCCCTCCCTCCTCTGCCTTTTTAACTGGAATATAGCAAGTATGTATTGGTGAAATTATTAAGGCCACTCCACGTAGTTAAAAGGGAGGTTTATTTAGTGGCATAACTTACAAGTGAAGGGATAGGTAGGTTGCAGAGTCTGGGAAAGGTGTCTCGCAGTCCAGCGGTGTTCTCTGGAGAACTCTGCTCAGTCTACCTCCAGCGTCCAGGGTCCAGGAACCAAGAGAGGCCCTGCATCCGGATCTTGGGTCTTCAGCATCCTCTCTCAGCCCTGTCTTGTAGGTGTGACCATTACCAAAGCCTCAATGGGGGTTGGAACTTCCAGGTCAAAGCTGGAATGGCTACCCACTAGAAGTATGCAAAAGAATGAGTTTCATGATCAAATCCAGTAAGTCTGAATCCTTTCAAGAAAGTCCACACTAGAAATTACGTGGATTCTAGTTCCAGCTCTACCACTTTCTAGTTGGGTGAGTTACTTAAGCCACCCCAGCCTGTTTCCTCACTGAATGTAGCACACCACCAACTTACGTACCATTGAGGAAGGCGCGAAAGCGTCAGATCTGCCATGACTTACACACTTCTTCACCAATTCTGTGATACACCTGGAAACGGTCACTATTAAAAGAAAACAAAACAAAACAATGGACGTCTTAGAATCACCGAAGCACGCCAGTGTTATCCACCTACCCCAGAGCGTTACTATGAGGTGCGAGTGAATCGGGGGTGGTATGCCTGGCACCCATACCCAGCACCTGACAGTCCCAGTAAATATGAGCTCTTCCGATCGTGGTGTGCAGCAAAAGGAACTGATGCTCAGGTCAAATTCTCAGGTTGTTCTGGTAGGAAATCAATGGCATTTGGATGGGACTGAGCTCTGCCCGACCAGTGCCTCTGGCTGGGTATCACTTACTCAGGGTAGGACTGGCTGCGGGGAGTCTTCAGCTCAGCGCACTCTCCCTACGCTTCCCATGTCCTAGCCAGGAGCTCCAGAGTCCATTTACTTCAAGATCTGGTTGCTTAATGCCTTTTGGGTTACAAAAGAGACTTGAAGGGCATAGAAACATACTGCCTGTTTCCCATCCCCAGGGGAGTGTCTAGACTTTCTGACTCAAGGCGAATTACTAAATGCACAGATGCCCATGCTCCTTAATGACTTGACTTCCACTTTTCATAAGACAAGGAGATGTGGCCAGAAATAGCCCAAACCCTGTAATCACTCACAGAGCTAAGAGGAGTTAAGTGGGGAGCGTTTCTCCAGAGCTCCTTCTCCAAGCACTTAGCTGGTGGTGTATGTTCCCTCCCCCTTTGCCTCGCAGAACAGATGCTTTAAACAAAATGGCAGTTGACTGTGAAGCCCGAGTTTAAAAAAAAGAAGCATTGCAAAAATGTGGATTCCACTTCTGCCCGGACACACAAAGGCTCCAGGCTGCTGTATTGTTGCCCTGTAGGAAGCTTTCCCAGTTAAACCCTCACACTCGCGTGCACCTGAGTGCGTGTGCATGCGTGTGTCCTGTGCTCCCCACCATCACCATTTACCTGAGCATGGGAGGCAGGTGAATTTTCTCACCTGTATTTTGGAGTTTTTGCTCCACCGCTCAGCTCTGAGTGAATGTTCCCCACATTTCCCTCATGAACTCTAGAAGTGGCGCGCTCATCACAGTCTGGCAGTGGATTCTTTGAGAGGCAGTCCAACAGGGACTGATTGGGTAACAGCTCAACAACAGTACCACAGACCCATTTCCTTCCTTCCGGTGTCGTTGCCCGCTGGTTTTGGAATGAGATGAGTCCTCTGGGAGCACAGGCATGGGATGGAGTAAGTCCTGACTTACACACAGAGTGACAAAACCTTTGTCATAGACAGAGCAGTAGGTCTTAGGTGACGACATGGTGCCTTGGACTCTCACAGAGGAACAAAGGTTAAAGCTGACATTGCTAATTGCAGTCTTTGCGGATAATTGTGCTCTTTCCTACCCTGTTGGGAAGATTGCAGTCTCAGAGAAGAGCTCCCTGTGGTGAACTTTCCTTCCCTGTCACCTTCTTTTGTGCTCAAGGAGAGCAGGGAGGGATCACAGGTGCCACCTTGTCTAGAGAGATGAAGACACGTGCACAGGAAGCTGGATGCTCCACAGGCTATTTCCTCGGGAATTGGGAGTTTTTATTAATGTACTTCTTTATTGACTGGGACTGAGGATCAAGTCCAGGGTCTGTGCCTGAGGGACAAGCAGTTACTAATGAGCCACATCACCAGCCACGTTCTGGAGGCTAGGGTCCTGTGAGATTCTGTCAGGCGGAATCCTCTCTCTGTGGTGTACTCAAGGTTTATCTTTGCTCAGACCAGACCTCTTGTTTCCACAGGGAGAAGCAGAAAGGGATGTATTGTTTCCTCAAACTGCAACATAAACCCCACAACTTCCAGAGCACAGCTTTGCTTAGAGACAGCGGTTGAACGAGGTTGGCTCCAGTCTGACCATCAGGTGACCTCTTGCGGACAAAGTGAGTGTCGTCCTAGACACAGGAATCACTTGCTTTCTCCGTGTCTCAAAGGAGAGACTCGAGGTCCTCTTCAAGCTCAGAAAGAGGGCATGATTTACCTCCTAAGGGGAGAATGGAGTATTGGGTCTCCTCTCACAAAAACATCCCCCCATTTTTTATCTCGGCAAAATGCACATAACATAAAATTTGCCATCTTACCTATTTTAATGTAAGCAGTTCAGTGGTAGGTCATGTACTTACAAGCATATTGTGCAACTATCCCTATCGCTCATCTCCATACCTTTTTTGTTCAGAATTTCATATATGACCACAGTATTCGCATAATTTTTCCCTTCCTCTCCTCCCTCCATTTCCTCTTACACCCCCATCCCTCTCAAATTCATGACCTCTTATTCTATAATTTTTATTGTTTCCCACACACATACAACCTGAGTGCTCAGCTGGACATGTACACATCTCTGCATTTCTTTATGATCTTGTACAACTGAAATTTTATACCCAATAAACACTCCACATCCCCTCTCTCCCAGATTCCAACATCGACAGGTCTGTCTTCTGCTGCTATGACTTGGACTGTTCTAAGCAATTCCACTACACAGTGTTTACATTTTTGTGACTGACTTATTTCACATAGCATAATGTCTTCATATGCTACGACATATGTCAATGTGTCCTTTCTTCCAAAGGCTGAGTAATATTCCATGGTGTGAAGATGTCACATTTTGCACAGCTATTCATCTGTTCAATAGACTCATACTAAATATTCTCTTTTCAGTTATTTTCCCCCAGTTTCAAAGTTCTGAAGGTCCAATATGCCCCCAAGATAACCCTGTTTCATATATTTTTCCAGTGATTGAGCAATATTTTAAATGCACATCTAACACATCATCTGTATGTTTTCTTATTATCTAATTTTTTATCATATGATGTTCATAGACTTTCAATGTTCCATTGCAATAAACCAGTCAGAACAAGCTAGCCAAAACTGCAGTAACAAGCATTCCCAAGCCTAGATGACACGAAATGGTAATTTTTAATTTTTTGCTCACTCTATGGAAAACTATGTGGTTGTCCTTAAGATTTTTGCCTATAAGCCATGTGGTTTTTCCTCTCATATTTCCTTAGCCAAAGTTAGGAGGAGGAACATGCAACCCTAGCTTTGTCCAGATGGAGAATTGGAAATGTTCTGTGGATAATGATTACCACCTTTGAATGTAATATAAAACTGAAATTTTTAAGCACATATATTTTTTCTGGAAGTTTAATGTCTTTAGTTAGGAATGCTAGTTTATGTTGAGATAAACTTTGAACAAATTATAAATTTCAAACTCTGAACTTGATCTTGGCCAAAAGGCCAAAAAATTGACAAAATTCCAAACTGGGAGATAGATGGATTTGAATCTTGACACCTAGCATCAACCCACATACCCATAGCTCAAAGGAAATTAGACACCAATAATCAAAATTTTCAATGTTTCATTTATGACCTAAAATTGTTTTATAGGCTATCTTTCTGTTGATGAGGAACCTTTTGGAAGATCCCCAATCTTATCAGGTCCATCTGAAACTTTGGAGTGTGCGAATTATTCAATGGTTGTTGCCTCTAATCATGAATCTGTGTGAGGTTTTGAATGCTACATGAGCACATGTAGCTCCAAGTATGGCTTCTCATTCTTTCCCAGAACAACCATGTGAGAGCTTGCTCACACACACTAGCTATGGACAAGTCCTTTTACCCTAATCTGTAGTTGGAGTTTTCTTCAGTCCTGCTCAGACCTGCAGCCACTCAGACCCAAATAAACACACAGACGCTTATACTATTTAAACTGTTTGGCCTAATGGCTCAGGCTTCTTGCTATCTAGTTCTTATATCTTAAACCCATTTCTATTAATCTATAAGTTGCCACGTGGCTTGTGGCTTACTGGTACCTTACATCTTGCTTCTCATGGCAGTGGCTGGCAGCATCTCCTGACTCAGCCTTCCACTTCCCAGATTTCTCTTCTCTGCTTATCCCGCCTACACTATACTTCCTACCTGGCTACTGGCCAATCAGCATTTCGTTTATCAATCAATCAGAGCAACACATTCACAGCATCCCCAGCACTAATCACACCCTTTCACCATGTGCTATTATACTCAGGCAACAGCCAATTAATTAATAGCCATATTAGTTCAGGGCACCACCTAATGTCCAAAGCAAATCAAGACACCTGAGATAAATTAACACAAAATGCCTTAGGAAAATCCAACCCAAGGACAACTGCTATCTAAAGTTATTGGAATGGCCTCTTTAAATATAACCCCACACTTGGTCAGTGGCCTTTTTGCCTGCTCCCTCCTGTCACATCTCTAAGACAAAGGGGGAAATGCCAGTGCTTGCATGGCATATGGAAAATCTAGACCACGTTCAGACTGCTGCTGTCCCCAGGAAATCAGCCAGCCAGCCACTTGTGTATTTGATAGCTACCTTCCATTATTTTTGTTATCTCTTTTACTATTTAAAAGCATTTTAATCAAACTGTGTTCCACGGGTGCTTTTGTATATGAGATGATAGAGGGGATGATCAAAAGAATTCGTTCTGAGATCCGTTTGGGGAAATATTAAATGAAATGAGAGAAATGGAATCCTTTGTTTCTCAATAGCTTCTCAGGGCTTTTTTATGCTAATATGATGGCAGATCTTCAAAAGATGTCCGATTTTATCAACAGAAATGGCCTCAGTACATCTTTTTCAAATAAGGATTCAAGGTATCATTTATCCATCAGTAACTAATTTGCCTCTTTCTGACATGTACCCTCCATGAAAACTTCAAAGTTTATGTAGCATCTCTCTCTCCACTTGATAGTCACATCATGGTCCAGCTAACCACAGCTGAAATAGCTTGTGTCTTAGAATGAGGAACACAACAGGGCTTTCTCGAAAGAAATTTAAAATGATGTAAAGATTCTAAAGGGTAGGGGGCATGCAAGAATTTGGTGGAGAGTTGATTATGTCAAGAGAGGAAGAGGCCTTAGAAGGGCATCAAGATTGAGATCATTATAGAGGGGAAGAGTAAGGAAAACAAGTCAAGAAGTGATGCTGTGGGTGATGAAGGGGATGAATGGATCCCCTTTAAATCTCTTGGCTGGTTGTGGTAAAGCATGCCAGGAGGGTATGTCAAAGAGACAGAGGCGGGACAGTCCGTACATTAAAAAAAAAAAATCACAAAAATGTGTTTTGTTTTGTTTTTCTTAATGCTCATTTTGAATGCTATACGTGGGACCTGGAGACATGGCTCAGTAGTTAAGAGCAGGCACTGTTCTTGCAAAGGACCCAAGTTCTGTGTCTTAAGGGCCATTGTCCTCTTTTGGCCTTGTCAGGCACCTGTACTTACACACACACACACACACACACACACACACACACACACACACACACACACGCTGTCTTAGTTAGGGATTACTATTGCAGTGAAGAGACACCATGACCATGGCAACTCTGATAAAGAAAACATTTAATTGAGGGGGCTCACTTATACTTTCAGAGGTTCAGTCCATGATGATCATGAAGGGGAGCATGGCAGTATGCAGGCAGATGTGGTGCTGGAGCTGAGAGTGCTACATCTTGCAGGCAACAGGAAGTCAACTGACTGTCACACTGAGGGAAGCTTGAAAAAAAGAAACCTCAAAGCCCGCCCCCACAGTGACACACTTCCTCCAACAAGATCACACCTCCTAATAGTGCCAATCCCTTTGGGGGCCATTTTCTTTCAAACTACCACACAACACACACACACACACACACACACACACACACACACACACACACACACGAACACATACACACACACACTTAAAAATAAAATCTTTAAATCTATTTGCAAAATGAAACAAGGTAAAGGTCGTTAGCACACGTGACTATTGGATGACTTTTATGACTGCTCATTTTATTGAAACTGGCCAGTTGAGCCCTGGAATTATTTTCAAGCTATAAAACATCACTCCAGCATTCCATAAAATATCTTCAGAGAAGTGCTGAATAACACTGCATTTTCAGTTTACAAACCAGGAGTAAGAATAAGGAATTAAGCAAAACTTTTTTTTCTGCTAGCTTAAAATCTTTTTAATACTTATGAAGCAAAGCATAAAAACAACAGCATTTTTCGTATTTTAGGGCTTGACACCAAATTTCAGATGAACTTCTGGGTGCAAGACAAGGCTTCATTTTTGATATTTATTTCATAAAATGAAAAACATCAGAGCAATATTTGCACACACACACACTTTTCATTGTTGCTTTGATGAAAACATTAAATGTGTCAGTTCAAATAAAAGCTTTAATAACCCAACTTTGAATTGACATTAAGTGTAAGCCATCTGTTGGGTTAATTATGGGTGTTACTTATGTTAATGACATATACCTAGTGAGACATTTAGGACTGAATTAATTGTATGTCAGGAACAGAACGTGGCCTATTACTTAGCTGGAGCTCCGTAGAGTCAGTTAT